GACAAAAGCATAATAGGTAGGAGAAAAATGATGATATGAAAGAAAGTTATAAATAGGATGAGGATTACAAGTAGAACGACTACCTTTACGAAGAGCAATGGACAAGTCAACTAAGGTAGGTGGGGCCGGAGTAGGTGAGGAGATCGGAGCAGGAGCAGAATCACATGGCTCAATTGTAGAAGCACTAGGAGGAATAACAGTAAGTGATTGACGCTCATAGGTTATCCCAAATCGGTGTAGAGGACAGCCAGACCCTGATAGTGTATGAGAAATCTCTGGTGCCTCTAAAGTAGCAGGTGTAGGAGGCCCACTATGATCAAAATGAGGAATAGGCAATACTTGAGAAAGGAGATCTGAGTCAACCAGAAAGACATTTGTAACAATAAAATATGGTGTATCTTCAAAGAAAGTGACATCTGCACTAGTGTAAAATCGATTCGTAGCATGAGAGTAACAACGGTACTCCTTTTGGACACGGGAGTATCCTAAGAACACATATTTGATAGCTCGAGCAAACAACTTAGCACATCCTGAGAAAAGATCATGGACAAAACAAGTACAACCAAAGACACGAGGATGAACAAAGTAAAGGGAATCCAATGGATATAATAAGGAATGAGGTACTTGATCATTCAAGACAGACGATGTCATTCAATTTATTAAATACCCTGCAGTGAGGACAACATCGCCCCACAACTTTGGGGGTGCATTGACATTTAATAAAATAGTATGAACAGTGTCCATAATATGTTTATGTTTTGGCTTGGCTACACCATTTTGTTGAGGTGTATGAGGGCAATTAGATTGATGTAGAATGTCATGGGAAGCCATAAATGATTTGAAGCAATTTGAAAAATATTCTTTAGCATTGTCACTTGGTAAAATCCGAATTACTTTGCCAAATTGAGTTTTGATCTCCGAATAGAAACTTAAGAAAATATTAAATAACTCAAAACGATTTTTCATTAAAAATATCCAAGTACATCTAGAAAAATCATCAATAAAGGTGACGTAATACTTATGCCCTAAAAGAGAAGGAACACGACTAGGACCCCAAACATCAGAATGAATAACATCACAAGGAGACATAGCTCGACTATTAATACTATTAGGAAAAGAAGCTCTAACATGCTTCCCTAATTGACACAACTCACACTCAAAGGACTCCAACCGTGAGAGATGAGATACCATTTTCTTTAATTTATTCAAGCTTGGATGACCCAGGCGACAATGGATTAAACCATGGGACTCAATAGATGCACATATGGTAGAGGTAGAAGGCTGAAGGTAGTAGAGACCATGTGATTCAGATCCGACTCCGGTACTGTATCAAGAAAGAGTCAGAAGTGAAGGTTATGACACGGTTTAGTGACCGAGTCAACTTACTTATAGAAATCAAATTAAAGGGACATCCAGGAACTAGTAAAACATTTTAATGGTAGTTATGGGAGAGGTGATATTTGGCCAATACCAGTGGCTTGGACTTTTGACCCATTTGCAAGAGTGATATGATGTGGAGTTTTAGGTGATGATAGGCTAGGAAAAATGGAGACATTACCAGTTAGGTGATTAGAAGCACCGAAGTCCAAAATCCAAGGTCCAATAAATGTAGAATGAGAGAGACAGATTGTAGAATTACCAATGTGAGCAACAGTGACAGAGGAAGGGGCCTGTTTAATTGCCTTCAGTTGAAGATACTCTTTGTAATCATCGGTAGATAATGTGATTGGATGATTGCCCTCAGGTTCAATCTTGACTTCTAGAGTCGAAGTCGGGGATTGAGCCACATTAACTGTCTTGCTCAGAAAGTCATGCAAGGAATAACACCTGTCTCGTGTATGTCCATCTCTTTGGTAGTAGGTACAATGGAGGTTTCCTTTACCTCCTTTACCATGACCAAAACCTCGACCACGCCCTCGACTTCCACGGTTAGCTGTACTAAGAGGAGGTATAAAGCTGACTGGTTATCACAAACTAGTTCCATATGACCAACCTTGCAAAACTGCAACTCTTGAATTAAGAATTTTAGCCATAAGAGCTCACATGTGGTGTGAGCCATAGCACGATATTCTGCGAAATTTCCGAGAAATTGTATAAATAAGGATAAAACACGCTAAACAGTGAAATATCGTGAAATAGAACCCTTGAGAGGTCACATATGAGGGTTGTGGATAAATCTGTGGGTAAATCTGTGGGTAATTACTCACGGATAAATCCGTGGGAAAATCCGTCGAAAAGTTACCCATAGATAAAAATCCGTCGGTAATCCGTCGGAAATGCACTATCACCCACGGATTTTTGGCATTTCCTACGGATTCTGGCCGTCTGTAATAGTGAATTTTATTGTAGTGAATAATACAAAACCAGTTTTTGTTCCAATGCACCCAAATCAACATTTCAACTCAACCAATGGAGGACCACTTTAAGATGCTTCTACTTATAGAAGGATGCTACAAGACTCATGTACATAAGCATATCCAGACCTAACGTTTGTTTTGTAGTAAATAAGTTGAGCTAATTCATGAGCAAACCTAGGATACCACACCTTCAAGTTGTTCATAGGTTCTAAGATACCTAAGCAACTCCTGGGCAAGGCATATTTTTCTCTTCGAAATCCAAGTTAAATCTAAGTGCATATGTAGATGCAAATTGGGGAAGTTGTATTGAAAGCATAAGGTCCACCATAAGCTTTTACATCTTCATGGGAGATTCTCTTCTAACATGGAAATCAAAAAGGCAAGCTATTATATCTAAATCTTCAACAGAAGCTGAGTATAAGGGCAATTGCTTCAATAACTTCAAAATTATTATGGCTTAAACAACTCCTCAGATTCTTCCAAAATCAACCTCAAATGGTAATGGTGTTATGTGATAATATTTCAGCAATATATATATATCTGTTAACTAACCTATCTCTCATAAGAGATCAAATCAAAACACAACCTTGATGTCTATTTTGTCAGCAAGCACGTTGAATCAGGTTTCATAAGGCTCATCCATGTGAAGACACATCAACAAATAATAGCTATATTTACAAAAGCTCTTCCAAGACATAAGTTTCAAGATCTAACAAGTAAGTTGCCTCTCAAAAACATTTTTCGTCCAACTTGAAGGAGGCTATTACAATCTACTATTGTCCATTTGTTAATTGTTATTTTAATTAACTTGTTCATTATTTTTTTTATCTTTTTTTTAATTATTTTTTAGCTGTTAGTTTAGACTAGTTTAACTCGTGTAGGTTAGTTTTTCTATTTTACCTTTTCTTGAGATATATATATAGCTTTGTAATTTTTATTTTGCAATTAATGAGAAGTATTTCATTCAGTATCTTTTTCTCTTTATCTTTAAATGACCTTTTCTTTGTTTTGGTTCTTAATTTGTTCATCTCTTTCATCATTAAAGGAATATTGATAAGAGTGTTAAATATTAATATGTTTACTCTAATAATTTTATAAGGATAATCTACAAAACTACAATTCGAAGATTCCATTAGCTATGGCAATATGCAAACAATTTTGATTAATATTTTATACTGAATAAAAGAATTACTTTATACTTAATAATTTTAAAGATTCATTAAGCTTCAAGTTTTGATCCTCTCCGAGTATTAATAAATTCATTATTATATATACTCAATGAATGATATTAGAAACAAAGGAATATTTTGGATTCGATGAGCCATGTATAGCATTCAACCCCACACAATTATTTGATATCAAGTCCTCAAAATACTGAAAGATATAAAAAAATAGCTCTTATCACAATAACTTATAGAATAACATTCTGATATTGTAATTTTTTATGAACCAATGGCAATTGAATTTTTAGGATATTAAATAAGTAGTTTAATTTGTGATTTTATATAAAAAAAACACTATTTATTAAAATACACATTAAATTAAATAAAAACTTCTTCCTCACAAAAAAAATTAAAAAAAAAACTTATTTAACATTATCATTAATAAAATTTGAATGATAATAATATAAAATTTACCTATTTTATAAAGTTGTGCATCCATAAGTACAAAGTTCAGTTTCTTTGATTAATCTCCATCTCATTTTTCAATTTCAAATCATCTATATACCACACAAATTAAAATTCTTCTCGACGTGAAAATTTAAATAAATTGATAAAATTAATCAATATTTATTCATACTTAAACTTTATTAATTTTCATAAAAAATATATTTTTTATTAATTAATAAGACAATTACATTTTTTTTCAAAATCAATTTTAGACGTAAGTCTGGGATCATAAATATATTAATATATGTAGGCATATTTTTTTTAAAAAAAAATTAATATTCATGTTAAAACTTTATACTTAATTAAGTATATTGTTATATGTATTAATTGAAAAATATTATTTTAAAAATTTATATATATATATTTATTTATTTATTTATTTATTATTTTTATTAAATTATTTTTAAAATATATATTCCATATTATTTAAAATTTTAATCTAATTTATACTTAAAACTTCAATTATTCTAGTATTGAGTCACCTTATCATTTTACGTAAATTTCTGTAAATTTTTTTTTTAATGTAAATAAATTCTAATAACCATTTTCTTACCCAATCATTTTTTTTTTATTAATTTACCTATTTTAACTAAAATTCTTATAATGCTAATTAATGACCTTAATCTTTTAATGGCAAGGTTTGGCTAATCTTTATGTTCTTAACGGTGATCTGTAAGTGCGCAACTATGACCAAGTTGAAACGTAAAATATGGGGCTCACGCTCATCAATGGCCTTCAGACTCTCATGCTCGACGCTAGGTTAAGTTTATTTGAAATATTTCCTAACGTCAAGAAATATTTCCTAATACTAATAATTACCTAATTAAAAAGAATGATATTTAAGAAAGAAGACAAAAAAGGTTATATATGGTTATATTTATAGAAAAAATGAAATTGTAAAAAGAAATATGATAAAAATGTAATCCGAAAATGTATAGATGAATGCACCGATTGTAAATTGGTTATGGTAATATTTGAAAAAGTATGAAAATTGAGAATATAAGTTGTGGAGAGAGAAAGAGAAATGAAATAAGGATGGAGAGTGAGGGCGGGGAGAAAAGGGAAAGCAATGGAGAGGGGAATAAGAGGAAGAAGAAAGTGTTTTCGGAGATGACAATGGCGACAGTATCGAAATTGAAACGGCACCGTTCTCACAGTGAACCGACGTTGTGCACACTTCACGACAACACATCCCCTGGCTATGGATGGCTGCTCCCCGCTTGGGTAGCAGAAGAACGGCACATGGAGTCCGGAAGGGTTTATAGGGTTTGTATATACATTAATTAATTCTTCTTCAATTAATTCTCCTACGTACTAATATATACATTCTTATGCAGTACTACTACGACCCCCAAGGTAATCAATACAAAAGCCAGAGCGAGGTTTTCGCTGCATGGGAGAATGCCGGGATGATTGTTATTGACGACTGAAACTCAATTCTATACCTCAACTTCTTTCTTCCTAGTATGTCTGCTGCTATTGGACTTAATTTCCTCATTTTATGCTTTTAAATAAAACTTATTCATCTTAAACTCATTTGTGTATTTAAATCTAAATTACTTTTTCAGATACATCTCGTAACTCAATTCAGACAACAGATAACTAATTAAGCATGCATGCATGTAATGTAAAACTCTACTTTTCATACCATATAGCTTCTTTTCCTCATTTTAATCATGCGCTCCCTCTTTATTAATTATTATGCAACACATACACATATCAAATTGTCAAAACCTACATATATACATCAATTAACAATAGAATATATAGTTAACTTTTGTTAATTTTTTTTTTTTTGTTTTTTTTTTTTTTGTGTAAAAGGTGGAGTCTTATAATATATATAATATCTCATTCAAATACTGGCCCTCTTGTTTATATTATTATTAGCAGTAAAAGCTAAATTTTAGGGATGTGTGTTGTTGGCTTCATCGTCATTCCAATTGCAATAAAGCCTGATTTTAAGGATATATGTTTTTTCAACTTATATAGCGTGGGAATTTTGTTTAGATGCAGGCGGGGCCGTGTGATTAATAATTGTTTTTTTGGTCACGGGAATTGGGTTCTTAATCTTAGATCAATTATTTTGCACACGTACATGAAAAAATAAATTTTCTTTTGATTAATTAATAACAAACAAACGAAAAGAGAACAATTTTATTGTAAACAAACAAATGAAAAAGAGAATAATTAAAATTCAATTATTGGAAGACTATAATCCATGGTAAAATACCTCCACGGTATAGGATATGGGGCAGTTGCACACTAATATTTTACAATCTTTTACATGATATATATATACACACATTATATTATAATGTCCCATAGATAATATAGTGTTTTAAAAAAGAAAAGTTAAATTTTGATACAAATAAACCTGTATAGATTAGTTAAAAGTCCTTTTCTGATTTTTTCGACATAAAAAAATTATTTTTGCGTTAGTTAGATTAGTTAAAAGTCCTGTATGTTATAACCTTGTTATCGCTATTAACTATCCATATAACAAAAGAATAAAAAATGTAATTTTTTTTGGTATTATTATGAAAGATAAAAGGCAAAAAAATGCACTAGAACCGGGATGGTATAGAATTAACCCCTAAAACAAATAAAATAAAATTTGGAGGACTCCTCCATGAAAAAATAGAGTTCAAATGTTGGACACCCCATCTTGCTAGAGAATGAGCCACATAATTAATTTCGTGATGGATACAAACAAACTCCACCTTCCAAGCTCGAGAACACTGATCTGTCAATCTCCTAATAATATCATAGTATTTATGTCTAAATAATACGATACAGATAATACTAATATAATTTTCTATTTAAAATTAGACCTTTACTTCGATAATATATTAAAATTTAGTAGAATAATTTATTATATATATTATAAGATAAAACTTAATTTTTTAAAGAATGATATTAACACTAAGTTATGTCGTATGTTTAAATGTATTATTAATGCGTAAGGAAAGCATGAATAATTTATGACTACATGGAGAAGCATTACTATATCCCCACAAATTGGACACTTATTATTAATGCGTGGACAAGGAATTAATGGGAAATTTAATTATGACTAAATGAATGCATCAAAACATCCCTATAAATTGGACACCTTCACGCATCAAGTATGTTTTTATGATGAATATCATCATTTTGATAGAATTTTTTTTCTTCTAATTTGATCGTTGAAATGTCTTACATGTACACTAACCAATAACCATATCATATGCCACCAATCTTATTTGTGACAAGAAAAAGAACTATTGTGGGAGAATTTCTGGGCTCGATTAGAGAAAATATCCAACACCTCAAACTAGTTCATAAAGGCGTCAAAAGATCATTAATTTTTCAAAAGAAAATAATAACGATTAATTATTTGTATTTTTTTTAGGTGTATACACCTAATAGGAACAAATGAAGATAAGAAAGAATTATAAATATGAAAGGTAACATGGTAGGAAAATAAAATAAAATAAAATCTTAAATATCTTTTTAATCTTTAAATATATATAATTTTTCATTTCTTTTAGTTCCTAAAAAAAATGTGTTCAACTTTTGATCTTTGTAATTTTTGTTTTGATTTTATTTTTTGTGATAATTTCTTTATTCATTGTTTTGAATGACGTGTCAAACATTTCACTTAAAATAATATACATATGTTTGATGTTTAACATGTTATCCAAATTAACCAATGAAAAAAGTTATATAGAAATTACAAAAAAAAAAATCTAGACCAAAAGTTAAATTAAAATTTTTGAAGGACTAAAAGCTAAAAACATATATATTTTAGAGGCAAAAATATATTAAAGCCAAATAAATATAAAGTATAGAAAAAATTAAAAATATTCACATAGATGTACGTCATTTTCTAAATAAACTTTGTAAACACCGTTTTCATTCTTAACGTAGGTAAGTACATTAATAATTAACCATGCATGCATATATATATATTATTGCACTTTGAGCGTTTGTTTGAAAACCATGTCGAATGATCGACAAGAGAAGAGTATATTGCATGATTAATTACATGATGGAACATGCATTTACGTTGTCGTCACTGAAAAAGGAGAGAATGTTGTCTTCTGCAGGAGCATTGGATGAAGCAGGAAAAGCTTGCACGACGTTTCTAACATAACCGGAGGGTGCTCTTCGATCATAGGCTCCGGGGGCATATGGGTAGTACACCAGATGCTGTTCAACATATGGCCAAAACTGAGCTCTCACTTTCCCCGTGCTCCTCACCCTCTTTAACACCTTGTTTGGATCCACATAACCACTTACCATCACCCTGCTCTGCTTTCGGTTCACCTCCACACACTTCACTCCTGCATGCATGCATATAATATTCTCACATGCACTTCTTTACACAATACACTTACATAACTCTTTTATTAATCTAGGGAATTAACCTTTTAATGAACTCACTGCATTTCTCACTCTTCTTTCGCAACCGTCGCAGTCCATTCTCACTTTTATCTCAACTGTCTGAAATTAAGGCCAACGCATATAATTCAATGTATATCTAGTTAATAAGCTAGAGGAATCAGACAGTAAAATCAGACTGGGAACAAGGTGCAGAAAAAAAAATACGTGAAGGAAAGAAGGAAGAACAAATCAGAGGAAATAAGGCTTGTAAGTGGGATGATAATGTAACACATTGTTACACTTTCATATTAATGACTGAAACAATCTCAAACATAAATTTTATAGGATTAGACATATATTAGTAATCTGATAAGATAAATTCTAATATTATTCTAGAAGGTGTGATCTAACTAGACAAAAATCGATTTGTAACGAGAGAATTCTTCTCTCCTTATATTTTATAATCATATCATTTATGGATCCCAACAAAGAAAATAAAGAGGAATAAAGGAAAGAAGGAAGAAGGTTTATAATTAATTGGCTCTACATCTACTTGGTACCTGCATTGGTTTGTGCTTGGTCCTAGTGCTGGTTACAGTGCAAAAGTTGGAGAGGTAATCAAGTGCACCCATCTTCTAGAAAGCTAAGGGAGAGAGTAATGACTAATGAACAATAATCGATCGAGTGAGATATTGATGAATGGTGTTTATATATATATATATATATATATATATATATATAATTTGAGAGAACTAAGGTGCAAAAGCAGTTTCTTGACAATTATATTATAAACTGTAATTATTAATTAATGGGGACATATATGCTCGTTAAAGATAGCAAATGTAGCGCTGCATTAGTCTTGGGTCTGGCTGTGCCGTATTTTATTAATTTTTTAATTTTAATCTTTATTTTATATTGTCTTTCAGTTGTGTGCAATGATTATGGTTTACTTTTCCCACATTTCACTAACATGTTGCTCCAATAATGCCTTTTATTATATGATTATATATAACCACGCACCGTGTGATTTGAACTGTTCAATATCTTAATACTAAGTGCATGTTAAGATTTTTTTACTTTTGATATTTTTTTCAGAAACACACTAAGATTATATTTAAAAGCAAATTGAATAATTGGCCCGTAAAAGTTAAAAAAGTTAAAAAAAAAAAAAGAAGTATTACATTGTGGGTTAGTCTGTTGTGACGTGTTTTGCACAACTGATAGATAAGTTAGTTATAAAAAAAAAAAAAAAAAAAAAAAAAAAAAAAAAAAAAAAAAAAAAAAAAAAAAAAATCCAGTTAAAAGCTGAAATTCAATTAATTAATAAGTTAATTCATTAAATTAAACAGTAATTACTAAACTTTCTGTTAATTTAGCTAATAGGTGTAAAATAATATACACAGATATAAAAGAAGGATTCATTAATGGTGGACAAAACTGAAAACAAAAATGCACTAGTAAACAATTTTTTTGCTATCAATAATATTTTGATAGTACTTTCTTTGGATCTATAAAATAAATCCTAAAAGTATATCCATCATGATAAAAAAAGAATTTATACGAAAAATACCATCTAAAACAGTTTCAGAAAATTTAGGTCAATATTAATTGATGGATCTGAAATATGAACAACCTACTTAAGAATTTCAAAATTTTGTTGAACGCAAAATCTCTCAAATATTTAAAGATTTCCAACTGTGAATGCTATGCATGGCTTTAGCGTCCTACTTACAAGTCGAGCTAGCTAGCTGTATGCACTACTAATTGCATAACTGAGTTTAAAAGGAAATACTCAGGAGAAGATACAAAATGTTGTATAACTATTTACTTGTGTGAACGCTTACGTACACGAGTAAGACTACATTTAATAACTATACTTGGAATTTCCTCAACTAAACTATGGGATCATGTATGGATATAATTATATCTGAAGCTAGCATTAATTCGTTTGATTCATGTTTTATGTTTTATTTTCCCGCTCTGTTAATTAAGTTTGTTATACCACAAATATTAGTTATTGTGCATGGCCCGATAAGGGGATTATTCTACTCCGAAAGAGATTAGATATTGTTTTTAAGACGAATTAGAGCGGCGCTACGATCAAGTTGAAGCAAGCAATCATCAATCAATATAATATAAGATTTAGTACTTAATTTCCGCAAGCATAATATATTCATTAATGATTATCGATCCAATCCCAATCCCAAGGCATAATAATTAACCTAATTTGTTAGTGTTTGTTGCCTACCGAAAGTGTAAAGTCACTCTTCTTTTGACCTATCAGAAACAAATGGAAAAGAATAATGCGCACGATCGATACTCTTTGTTGAGTTAATGAAATGGAGTGAGTACCAATCGCAACAAAGTAGACCATATAAAATAGTAAATAAATGGATGGGGTAGGGTGGAGTGTATGGGTATTGTTGCAACTTGCAACTAAACAAAATTTAGAATCTAGATGAATATTTAAGGCTTGAGAATGTTTTGTATATTCTTAACTTGAATTATAATTTGATCTTTATGTCAAAACTTATAGATGAACCAAATTGTATTTTTCAAATTTATTAATGACCAGTATGTTACACAAGATGGGTGGATGTGGATGCAGGACTTTGTTTTTAAGAGATTTCTAACATGAAAGTATATAGAGATGGGAAGTGTTAATAATTATTTTCTCTTGGCATACATTACGGGACTTTTTTGTTTTTAACTTTTAATAATTCGGATTTTAATTTTGACTTGATCAATAAGTGGTTCCTATACTTATAAGCATCAAGTAGTCACTTATCAAAGATTGCTAAAATCTTGGTAACATTAATTTTTCTGTTCCATTTGAAATATTATAAATGTATTATTGTTGATGAATAAAATAATTCACTACTTTTCATTCAAATTCTTCTACATATTATAACTTCTTTGTTATTTTTTTCTACCATAAACCTACAAATTGATATCAAGAGTTATCTTCTTACAGGACTTGTAAAAGAAAATTCGAAGTTAAAACAAGTTTTTAACATGTTGCTCCTCCCATTTAATGGATAGAGCTATGAACTTTTTGGGCGATAAAATTGGAGTCTTAATTAGAGGTTTTGGATCTATGGGATGCTAGGGAAGAGGATTATCAAGTGCCTCCACTTCCTAATAATCCTACTCTTGCCAAAATTAGATATCACAAAGTAAATAAATAAAGCAAAGGCAAAATCATGTTTAATTATTTGTCAGTGTTTCGCAAACCATCTTTACTATAATTATGACCCTCAAAACAGCAAAGGCAATATGAGACTATTAGAAGGAAGAGTATACTAAGGGTGAGCATATTAAAGGCATGCAAGTTCTACATTTAATATGGGAATTCGAGCTTCAAAAAATGAAAGAATCCAAGTGATTAATTAAGGGGTTACCTTGATAGATTGCTAAGCATTGCTAACAAGATTGAATTGTTGGGCACTACATTTGCTAATTCCAGAATTTTTGAAATTTTTTTTGGTTATAATGCCTGAGAGATATGAAACATCAATAATCGCCTTAGAGAACACAAAAGATTTGTCCAAGATCACATTGACAGAAGTACTACATGCCTTTCAAGCTTATGAGCAACGCAAGCTTGTGAGGCAAGAATATGTAGTTGAAGGAGCTTTACCAACCAAACATAGTGAAGCTGGAAGTACCACAAAAAACCAAAGTAAGGGTAAGGGTAAAAGGAAAAATTACCCGCTTCATAAATATTGTTGAAAAATAGGTCACCCACCATTCAAATGTTGGAGATGAATGGATGCAAAGTGTAGCAAATGCAATCAGCTTGGACATGAAGCTATGATTTACAAAGGACAATTTCAACAACAGGAACTCAATGCCCATGGTGTTGAGGAAGTCGAAGAAGAGTAGACTTTTGTAGCAATGTGTTCTTTAGTTATGAATAACTCTGAATGTTGGTTGATTGGTAGTGGTTGTACTAACCACATGACATACGAAAAAACTCTTTTCAAGGATCTAAAACCTACTAAAGTCTCAAAAGTCAAAATTAAGAATTGTGGTTATATTTTTGCAAAAGGAAAAAGAGCCATTGAAATTTCAACAAGTTTAAGTACAAAAACAATCTCAAATGTTCTTTGCCTACTTGATATTGATCAAAATTTATTGAGTGTTGGCCAATTGATTGAAAAAGGATTTAAAGTATCTTTTTAAAATCAACATTGTTTTATCTTTGACACCACTAGTCAAGAGATTCTAAGGGTTAAAATGAAAGGTAAAAGTTTCTCATTTGATCCAATTAAGGAGGAGCAGGTCATGTATTTCACTCAAGTTAATCTCATAGAACTTTGGCACAAGAGGCTTAGTCATTGCCATATTTAAAGAATGTTGAACATGGAAAAGAAAGAACACCATTGATAATTTTCCAAATTGTACTCCTTGTTAGTTTGGTAAAATAAATAGAATGTCATTTCCTAAATCAACTTGGAAAGCGTTTAAAAATTCCAACTAATTCATACTAATGTAGTAAGACCTTCAAAGAACACCATTGATACAAGTTACTCTATACTTTGTTCTTTTCATAGATGATTTTTCAAGAATGTGTTGGATTTTTTTCTTGAAATTTAAGCATGAGGTAGTTGGAGCATTTAAAAGGTTCAAAAACATGGTGGAAACTCAAAGTGGCTGCAAGATTCAATCTCTAAGATCTGATAATGGGAAGGTGTATATCTCAACACAATTTAGTTTATTTTGTGAAGAAGCGGGCATTGAACAGTAACTCACAAATTTACACACTCTAGAGAAAAATAAAGTTAGTGAAAGAAGAAAAGGATCAGTAATAGAGATGGCTTGTTGTATGTTGGATGAGAAGGATTTGCCTAACCAATTTTGGGCAGAAGTAGCCAACACATCCATCTTCCTTCAAAGTCATCTTCCAACTAAGGCCTTGAAAGATAAAACTCATTTTGAGGCTTGGTATGGGTATAAACCTTCTCTAACCTTTCTTAAAGTGTTTGGTTGTGTTTGTTTTGCACATGTTCCATGGGTAAGTATGACAAACTTGACAAGAAGACAGTTCTAAGTATTTCTGTGGCTATTGTTTAGTCTCAAAAGCCTACAAAGTGTATCATCCTTAAACTAAAAAAATGATAGTCACTAGAGATGTGCATTTCAATGAAGATTTGCAATGGGACTGGAAAAATACACAAATAACAATTGGACCTTTCAACAATATTAAAAATGATGAACTTGGGAAACAAATTACAAGGTTGTGTTAAAATGAGTTTGAAAATGAGCCTTCAATTAGAGTCATAAGGCTATTATTAAACATTTATCAAATATGTAATGTAGCAATATGCAAACTTGCTAGCTATAATGAAGCACTAAAAGACCCAAAGTGGAAAAATGCAATAGAAGAGGAGATGTTAATGATTCATAAAAGAAAAACATGGGAGCCAGATGACAAGCCTAAAGATAGAAAAATCTTTAGAACAAAACTTAATGTAGATTGCTCAATTAATAAATACAAGGGCAAGCTCAACTCATAGTCAAAGGGTTTGCATAAGTTTTTTATGTTGATTATTCTGACACTTTTGCTTTTGTATTTGAATTAGAACAATTAGATTTGTGTTAACTATTGCTGCTTAAAAAAGCTTGAAAGTATTCCAATTAGATGTCAAATTAGCCTCTTTAAATGGACTCTTACAAGAAGAAATATATATGGAGTAGTCAAAGGGATTTGTGGAGTAAAGTGAACAAGATAAATTATATCGAGTCAAAAAGGCCCTCTATGGCCTAACACAAGTCCCAAGGGTATGATACAACATGATAAATTATCATTTATTGAGAATAGGCTTTGTAAATAGATCCACTTCTTATGTAAAACATACAAAAAATAACCTTTTCATAGTTTCCCTCTATATTGATGATCTATTTGGTGACTAGAGATGATAATTATGGTTGAGGAGTTCAAACAAAAAATGCAGGCTTTGAGATGACAAATCTTAGCCTTATGAGATATTTTCTTGGAATTGAGATCAAACAAAGTAAAAATTATGTTTTTATTTGCCAAGAAAAATATGCAAATGAAATATTAAAGAAATTTCAAATGGCAGAGTGCAAAGAATTTAGCACACCAATGATTGAAAAGGAAAAGTTGAGCAAGGAAGATGGTATTGATAAATTTGATGAAGGATACTATATAAGTTTTTTTGGTGTCTAATGTATCTCATTGCAAAAAGTCACTAGTATATTTTCGTTCCAAAATGAAAGACAAATTACTAGTATCACTCAATATCCACCAACAAAAACCATTTAATATAAAATACAAATTGTCAGCAAAAAAACTTATAAACAAACCACTTATTTCTTTAATGTAATGTAAAGATTAACTTACAAATTAACTTCCATTTTGTAACTTTAGGCCAATGAGACTTATGATCCTTAACCTTTATTTTTGGTCGACCACCACCAAGCTTTGTTTGCTTCTATCATACACATATACATGAACATATTAAAAGAACAACTAATTAATGATTTTAATATATTATTATATTACAATTCTTACAATAACTTTTTTTTTGGTTTGTCTCATATCTTGTCCATTACTTACCTCGACACCCATTGGTTGTTTACTTTGAAATATTTTTTATAACAACTTCAATACAATTGAATAAAACCATTTATATGAATTCTTAAGTGACAAACTTAATTTACAACAAATTACCTTTACTTTATCTGTTGTAAGTGTAATACCATTATTTTTTTAAGGCAAAACCACCTTCAATTGCACTTAAATCATGCTCCATGAGAAGAATGGCATGACATGTGGTTACTAGGTGACCAATTTTTTTGCAGTTAAAACATTTTTTTTTACTTTTTTCTAATTTTTTTCTTAGTGAAACCCTTTTTGTCTTAACAACATTTAGATAACAAAAATCATTTCTTTCACCATTATCCACTACAAGAAAAATGCTGATTTCCGACGGAAATTTCTGATGTATTTGATCGTGCAACAAAACTTTGCTTTTTACTCTTCCATGAGACAAGATTACCACACATGAAGACACAATAGCTTGATGTTGACCGTCTATCACTTGCATCACTTGCCCAATCTGCATTTGAATATCCAACAATGTCTGTATGACCTCTATCATTGTAAACAAGTCTTTTTCCTGGTGAGCTTTTGATGTATCTAAGGATTCGAACAATTGCATGCTTCATGTTAAGAAACTGACTTACAACACTGATAGGAAAGGATATATCAGGTCTGGTCATGGTGAGATAATTCAATTTTCCCACTAATCTCCGATATCTCCCTGGGTCAGGATAAGGCTCTCCCTGATTAGGCATAAGCTTCACATTGGGATCCATGGGAGTGTCAACTGGCTTACAATCTGTAAGCCCGGTCTCCTCTAGAATATAAGGGCTTATTTTCTCTGAGAAATAGCAATATTGGACTTTGACTAAGCAACCTCAATCCCAAGGAAATAACATAGAGGACCTAAATCCTTAGTTTGAAAGTATTTAAATAAGTGCTGCTTTAGAGCCTTGATGCCCTCCTGATCATCACCTGTAATCACAATATCATGTACATAAACAACAAGATAGACAAATTTATGTGTTGATGAACATCTAAAGAAGACAAAGTGGTCTGCCTGGCAGCGGATCATTCCATATTCCTGTATAACTTTACTAAACCGACTAAACTAAGCATGAGGTGATTGTTTGAGGCCATACAAGGACTTTTGTAATTTACACACAAGACCAGACCCCCCTTGAGCAACAAACCCAGGAGGTTGCTCCATATAAATCTCCTCCTCCAAATCACCATGTAAGAAGACATTTTTGATGTCTAATTGAAACAAAGGCCAATGCCTCATAGCAGCCATTTTTGGTGAAAACTAGTGTTAGATTAAATATTAATCCATTGTGGGGGTAACTAGGGCCAAGATTGACCTTGTTTGCATTTCATTGGATAGCAGTTTCTCTCTCTGTGTACTAAGTACTAACCAATGTAGAGGCTATTCCCAACAGCAAGAATGAGAGGCCATTTTGGGGATTCAAGGGAAAAAGATGTGAAAAGTGGATCATGAAAGTGATGATTCACTTAGTTTGATGTTTTATTAAATATAATTTCTCTCAATTTGTGTGTATTGGATCAGGTTATATGATACTTTTAGCAGCAATGTGAAGAGTGGCTTGATTGTCACAAATAAGCTCAGTATCTTAAGTGTCTCCAAAGTCCAAACTGTAGCTGTTGTAGAAGTTGTCTAAGCCATGTAATTTCGCACGTAGTTGTACCCATGGCACAACATTCAGCTTTATTGTTGGATCTAGCTATTGTATTATGCAGCTTGCTTATCCCAATGGCTATCACATGGGGCATTTAGGAATTGACTTACCATGCTTATTGCAAATGTAATACCTGGCCTAGTGACAATGAGATAATTAAGTTTACAAGTCGACTATATCTTCTCAAGTCTTTCAGTGGCTGCCTTTGACCTAGAAGAAGCTTCACGTTAGGATCCATAGGTGTGTCACTAGGTTGACAGTCTAGAATGACGGTCTTGGTGAGAATATCTAGAGCATTTTTCTTCTGGGGAATGGCTATACCAAAGGTGGACTAAGCAACCTCAATGTCTAAGAAATATTTGAGTAGTCTCAAGTCTTATATTTGAAATTGACTTTGAAGGTGAGATTTGAGTTGACGGGTGCCATCAAAATTGTCACCAATAATGCTTATGTCATCAACATAGACAACTAGATAAATGCAGAGGCTAGATGGAGGATAAAGAGAAAAGACAGTGGTCAGCCTTAGTGGGTCATACCAAATCGTAGTAAGGCACAACTAAACCGGCCAAACTAGGCACAAAGAGATTGCTTCATCTCATATAGAGACTTAAATCTGAATAATTTCTTATTATTCTGAATTGTTGGGTACAATCAAATAAATAGGCTTGTAACATAATCAATCCCTAAAGTTTAGGGATAAAGATAAATCTGACTAAAGAAAACTAAACTATAAATCAAGAAAACTATATCTTATAGAATTATCTTAACATAAACTAGTATATCTAAACTATATCTTATAGAATTATCTTAACACTCCCCCTCAAGCTGGAGCATATATATCATATGCATCTAGCTTGTTACATATATATGTTATCCTAGGACCTCGTAAAGATTTAGTAAAGATATCTGCAAGTTGATCCTTGGAGCAAACTGAGGAGGTCTTGATGATACTAGAGAGAATCTTTTCTCTGATGAAATGGTAGTCAACCTCTATATATTTTGTTCTCTCATGAAAAATTGGATTAGAGGAGGTATAAAGCTGACTGGTTATCACAAACTAGTTCCATATGACCAACCTTGCAAAACTGCAACTCTTGAATTAAGAATTTTAGCCATAAGAGCTCACATGTGGTGTGAGTCATAGCACGGTATTCTGTTTTTGTATTTGATCGTGCAACAAAACTTTGCTTTTTACTCTTCCATGAGACAAGATTACCACACATGAAGACACAATAGCTTGATGTTGACCGTCTATCACTTGCATCACTTGCCCAATCTGCATTTGAATATCCAACAATGTCTGTATGACCTCTATCATTGTAAACAAGTCTTTTTCCTGGTGAGCTTTTGATGTATCTAAGGATTCGAACAATTGCATGCTTCATGTTAAGAAACTGACTTACAACACTGATAGGAAAGGATATATCAGGTCTGGTCATGGTGAGATAATTCAATTTTCCCACTAATCTCCGATATCTCCCTGGGTCAGGATAAGGCTCTCCCTGATTAGGCATAAGCTTCACATTGGGATCCATGGGAGTGTCAACTGGCTTACAATCTGTAAGCCCGGTCTCCTCTAGAATATAAGGGCTTATTTTCTCTGAGAAATAGCAATATTGGACTTTGTGATTGTTACTACTATTGAAACTTTTCTCTTAACTTCAAAATCTCATTTCTAATAACATTGAAATTATCACATTTTAATATCAATATTGCACACTTTGTTACAACAAGTAGCTAATGTCCCAAAACAAATCATAACTATCATATCACTATCTTTATCCCTTGACTTATAAGATGACATATAATAACTTTTAGCATCATTTAACCATCTCTTGCAAATCAAACTTTTTGGAAATGACTCCACATGATCAAGTCGCATGACATATATTATGTGGGAGCATGGAATGCCAAAAGACTTATACATCGTGCAATCACACACAAATTTAGTTTCTTGTTTATCATATACAACATCATGTTCACTCGACATTGACAAAATTTGTCCACCTTAAAATAAATCATTTCTTTTACCTCACACCTCTCAATCACATTCAGAGCTCCAGTAGCAATAATCTCTTATCCAACTTGTTTAAAAAATATTTCGGGTGAATAACTTTGCCACTTATCGCTCAATTATTGGAAGAAAGGTTATAAGCACAAATTCAACGTAAAAGGAATTAAAATATGAAACCAACTCATTTTACCTAAAATCCCTTAACACTACAAAAAAATCAAGTTTTAGCGACCACCAAAATCGGTCGCTATTTAGGTAAATTCAGTCGTTGTTACATTTAGCGACCGAAATAGCGACCGAAAAAATCCGTCGCTAAAATCCTGGTCGCTATTTTAAATAGCAACCGAAATTTTTTCCGTCGCACTTTAGCGACCGAAAAATCCATCGCTAGACATTAAAAATCCCTTAAAGAGTGCTCAAAACTATGCAACTCAACAAATGTACTTTTCCTCCTTATATAGGATTTGATACAATAATTAATCCTTTCACATAATGAAGTTGTCCTTATTCCTATAAAGAATTTATCACAAAGATATAAATTAGCCCACATGTGTCTTTTCTGGTATACTTGAGAAACCTAAATATTTCATTCAAGCTCGTGATTTAAAATCAACTCCTGCCAAAAAATTTCAAATTCACTAGCTGAAATTTTTTTGTACATTGCTCTTTTGAAATCCACTAAGAATTTGAAATTCTTTACATTTTCACAAGCTTTCTTTTGCAAGTACCAAACACAAAGTCTGTGTGAAGCATCTGGAAACGTTTTCTTTATTGCCTCCCTCATTGTATCATCACCATTTGTTATTATGGACTTTGGTTGCCTTTTGCATATTGCATCCAAAAATGCTTCTAACACCCACTTGTATGTATCAATAGTTTCATCTAAAACAAGAGCAGAAACAAATATCATAGTGTGTGAATGATGATTTTTCTTTGAAAATATTACTAAAGACTTATTTTACTTATTCTTCTTGTAGGTTCTATCGAAAACAACATCTCCAAAACATTGGAAATCATAATTACTTGTACCATCAACCCAAAAAATGATAAAAATAACTTGAAGAGGATTGTTGTTCTTCATAGTTCAATCTGTCCAAGACCTTTTCACTCTTGAGGAGACTCGGATTTGAGCTAGAAACACCTTGAAGAAACCTTCAATGGTGGAGAAGCACTTAGGAGGTTCGTCCACTCCAAGTAGATGAACAAGCTTGAGGAACCTTGTTCAAAGGTTCTGAAGAACCTTTGAGAGAAAACCTAGAGGAGAAAGCTCTACGGTATAGGTGACTTTGAGAAGAGAGAATTCTGTGTAGAATTTCTGATTTCATTCATAAAAAGTGAGGTAATTGGTGAAAGTTACAAATATATAGGGAGAGGTAGTTTAGGGAGCAAGCTAACCTTAACCATGGTTTACTAGGAACCATGGTAAGGTCACTTGACCGTCCAAGTGAGTTTAGAAGCTTGTGGAGCTAGCTTCTCACTTAGCTTGCTTGGGAAGCAAGCTAAGGAGAAGCTTGTGCTACAAGCTTCTCAACCTTTAAGAGAATGAAGAGAAACTCAGCCAAGAATGGTAAGCTAGGCTAGGCGGCCATTTGGCTTGTTTTTGCTCAAATCCAGTTTTTGAAAAATGTTGATTTGGTTTAGTTAGGTTCATCTAATGTTGATGAGACCTAGCTAAATCAAATCCTTGAAAAATTAGGAGCAAAACAAGTCTAATATGTAAAATTTTGCCTAGGCCCAATTCTAGCCTAATTACTAATCACACCTTTAAGCATTGCTAAATGCCACCCCCAATCCTACTACTGAAAAATAGAAAAAGAATGTACTTCTAGGTTAGGTTAAATGGAGTCAAAGTTTCCAAGTAACCTACCTAGAAACAATATACAATGAGAAATAAAAGCAAATAAAGTGTCTCACAAATATAAAAGCAAAAATAAGCCTTTACAAAGAATCTATGTACAATTTATATACATTTAAAACTAGGCCTTCTCTTCATGATAGGGTAGTGCAAGTGGAGAGTACCTTGGGCTTAGAAAGCCCATTGGTCTTCAAGCTATCCAACTCTTCCTGTATACGCCTGGTCATAGCTCTAGTAATTGGGTCCTTAGCCCATGGTCCATCAAAAAAGGTAATTCAGTTTACTATCGTTGGAAAACATGTATCTTGAAGAAAAAAAATCCCATCATTATCTGCCTTGCCTTGAAAATAGCTTAAAGTAGTCATTACATCTTTGTCTTGAATTTTACATCACATGTGTTGTTGAATATGATTGAAAACATTTTTCTTGTTGAGCATGCAAAGAATCCACTTGTGCTTTGTTTGCACTAGACAACCCATAATATGATTATGACTTGCCTTAAATGACACGACTTTCCATTTACAACTAATTTGATTGAAACACACACACAACGTTGCTTTGCAGTCAATACTCGAGAGAGATCAATACTCTTTTTCTCAATCATCTCTCATGAAGTGTTTCTTATCCCTCAAACTTACTTTGTTGCATAAATATTGATGCATTATAATATTATAATTTGTGTCAACCAATTTCATCTTTTTTAACAACAAAACCATGACATTTTGCATAGGCAAAATAGAATTATAAGCATCATGTTCACTAAAAAAACTCCATCTCCCATATGTCATCAGTTGTTAGATCAACAAAAGTTTTGTATTTAAATCTATTAAAATCTACATTTTCTTCCTCTTTATCATATTCACTTTCACTATCTTCAAAGGTATCAGTCTCACTAAAACTAACATCTTTGTCATAAGATAGATTAATACATGGTTCATCATTAAAATTTTCCATTTGCATTGTAGGCAAAAAATCAAACACAAATATTATGAAAAACATCATCAACTTTAAAAACCATCTTGCTTATATTTCATACAAATATCATGAAAAATATAGTTTTAGAAAAATATTTAACTATTTCTATTTAGCCATCAATATACAAATTTGTTCCCATCTAACCAATAAAAAAAATAACAACAACGTAGAACATCAACACAAAACATACCATTATTGAAAAAAAAAAACAACTAAAATAATTCAAAATATCAAATGAAAATGAACTACAATGTAGCTATATATTCATCCAATAAAATTACATTTTATCAAAATCTCAAGTGAAGTAATCAAATCTTACAAAAATCAATTGATTCTACTAACTTTACTTCAATACTTTTATGTCACAAGATGAAATTACCAAACAAATACAAACACCAATGAACAATGTGTGCACAAGGTATTATACTACACAGTATATATGCACAAACAACTCTACTACAACAGTTTTCTTTGATTTGTCACCAAATCATGCCTATATAACAAACAAAAAATTATCACAACTCATATTAAGTTTAATATTTACAATGTAACAAATGTTATATCGTTGATTGCAAATTTAAATATGGGATATAATCCTTACCACCATTGATGAACTGATTCAGAGTAACATACCCAAAAAAGTCAAACAAATATGAGCAAAGCATCATTTGAATAAGCATTCCATATGCAAATAGGTGGGTGCATATACCACTTTTGATTTCAAAAATGAAATAATGTTTTCGAGGATTTTGGAGAGGGAGACGTTTTGTTGTTCCAGAAATATCTTAACTTTTTAAAAAACCATATGACATTGTCATTTTAACAAAATTGAATAAAAAATTTCTACAATAAAACACATACATAATTATAATTATGTCCTTGTGAATATATATTATAAATAACTAATAGTTGTGTAGGATAACTATGTTAACGTGTAAATTTACTACACGTGTCATTGTGTTATTGGGAGCTAACATGGGGGCACTAGTGCCCTCTACTTTTACTAGTCAATCAAGCAAATGTCTAAAATAATATCACTCTGATGACATAATGGAATGATTTTCGATTAGTGATCCTAACAATTACTATAAAGATGGTGTGAGCTACACTAAAAGATTTGATTTAAAAGCAAAAATGGTGATTATGCATGTTTTTCTAGTAGTAGTAGTACCCTTGATAGGAGAAATGTTAGGGAAACACTCTTATACACAATCTTTTAGTAGTTATTGTCTCCCTTTTGGTATATAATACTCTTTCAAATTAATTTAACCCCTTATAAAACTAATCAATTTAGTTAGAGACATTAAATTTGTCAATAATTTAAATTGTTTTCCTATATTATTGTAAAGAAAAGATAGACACTAGAAGAGGAGTTGAATAATGTATATAAAAAACTCGCACGTTTACAAGTTTGTGAAGTAGTATCTTTGACAAACGAAGCGTTGACAAGAGTAATTAATGAACACAAGAAGTTTTTATACTGGTTCACTCTAATCACCAAGGTTATGTCTAGTTCTTAATCTGACCAGATTGAATTCAACAAAGTTACAAGTATTCTTTCATCAAGCCACTTCTGGCTTAACATAAGTGTTCTCTGACTGGCCTCTTCAAGTCACTACCCAAGTATTTTTTCTACAAATAAGTCTCTCTAGGCTCAACCCCAATTATTCTTTTATAGATAAGCCTCTTTAGGTTCAACTCCAAGTATTTTTTTACAAACAAGTCTCTCTAGGCTCTACCCTATAATAATGGTTATAAAGGTATTACAAGGTTGTTGTCGTCATCTCCTTTAGACGTGATTACAATGAATGTTTAAGTGCAAGAGATTTTTTGAAAAATATTTTCTATGTGTGCAGTTCTTTCTTATTGTATATGTTCTAAAATATCATCACAATCTCTTGAGTTTCAAATCTTTTTATACAGTAGCTTCGAAAGAGATGATCGTTGCAGCTTCTTGAGTCTGATTCACATAATTGTTTCGTCTTACTCCTTCATTTGATCTAGAGAGAGAAAGTATCTCTTGGTGCATTAAATGCTTCAATTAATGTTTTTCACCAAAATGTACTTCTTATCTTTGATACATCAAGCTACTTATCAGAGTAGAGCAGCAAAGTGGGAACAACAGGAAGCAAAGTCAGTGTGCAGTGAGGATGCAATGTTTTTCCTATGCCTTTTCCATGAGATTCGGGATCTTTGTCCTTTGTTTTGATGCTCTACATGCCTTTATACACCTTTAATAGAATGTGAGTTCCAAGACAATGTCTTTCGATCTGTTAAGTATAAAACATTCATTTGAAAATTCAAATGTGTCAGTCACAAGAAATAATAGACATTAAGAATATGACGAATAGTTGTATGTTTCGTCTCGCAGACGTTACTTTGTCTTACATAGCCTGAAACAACGACTTTTTGAAAACGTTTTCTTGCCAAAAGACATAATATTTGGTATCATTAAAACTTACGAAAAATAAGAGATCTAATGACCATCTTTTGACTTAACAATTATATTTAGCATTTGTAAATTAATCTTATATCACTTTTCACTTAATTATTTCTCAACTATAATATAAAAAAATTGCGTTTGTTCAGCTTATCAAATCTTAGTAATTGAAAAAAAATATATTTCATTAATTCTCAACATTTATTCTTTCCTAAAAAATGTTAATTAAGGATAATTATTTTAAAAAAATAATTAATATAAAATACAATTAAAAAATGATCTTGTAAAAATGGAGAAGCAATAAAGTAAAATATATATATATATATATATATATAGGAATAGTTATATTAAAATTTATTAGTTAATAACTATAAAATCAATAGAAATTCATTAAATTAATAAGACATGAGATTCAAAAAAATTCTTAATTTTTAACAAATTTCAACTAATAAGAAGGGACATATTCAAAAAAGTGTTTCTATCATTTTTCTTGCATTGAAGGACAAGCAAAACGCTTTCTAGTATGGTGAGGTCCAAAAAAGATATGTATTTGAGGTTGTCTCCCAAGTCCCAGGTTTCGTGTTCAACAATGATGCAAGGTGTTCATGTTATGCAAATCACTTTATAGGTTAAAACAAGGCATAATGTTGATTTGTGAAGTTATCTATTTACTAACATATGTAACATACTTTGTTCGTTGATGATTTAATTATTTTTGATAATGATTATGATGCTATTCAACGGTTCAAGTGATACTTAAGAGTGTATTTGGATAAAAAATTTAATGGAGTAATTCAATTTTTTTTAAGAATTTAAAATATTTTGGTGTAAAATACTTTATTTGGATAAAAAATTTAAAAATCAAACATTTGTGAAATTTTTTTTTCTTTTTCTTTTTCTCCTACCTTCATCTTTTCTCTTTTAAAGTCAACATAAAAAAATATCAATAATTTTTGTAAGCATTAAATATTCAAAATTATTTTTAAATTATTAAATAGTATCTAATAATAATTTTTAAAAATTATTTTATAAAATTAATATTTATAAAAATTGGTTAATATTTAATTTTATAAAATCTAATCTTAAGAATTTAGTTTTATCTATGAAGTAAATTAAATTCCTTTATTCAAGTTAAAAAATAAAAATTAAAAAAAAAATAAGTTGACCTATTCATACAAAGTATTTAAAGAATGATGAAAATTCACGTCAAAATAATTCAAATTCTAATAATTTTAAATTTCTTGAATTTCTAAAAAAATTTCGTCCAAAAATTTTCACATAAAAATCTTGGATCTTGGAGTTTTTCTTAGGTGTGGAGGTCGCTAGGAACTGCCAGTATATATTTGTGCCAACAAAAATATACTTTGGACATTTTGTCTGAAGTGGGGTTGCAGGGCCGAACCAGTAGTTTTCCCAAAAACAACCAAAAGTTGGCACGACTATTCTTACAGTATCCCAAACCAAATAATCTAGACGCCAATCGATATGTTTACACGCCAGAGGTGTCTTATTACGTCCATACGATGTCACAGTTTATACAACCTAGACAAACACATTGGAAAACTGTTTTGAGGATGGCTCAATTTTTGAAAGGTGCTCCCGAGACATTCTACTGCATAGTAAGTGCAAACATTAGAGGGTGAATCTGAAACTCATGTTTTATGAACAGGAAGCATAAAACAACTTACTTTAATAATCAGTCCTTATGTTCCGACTATTTCTTATATGTCCATCTTTTATACTTGCTTAATAATGCTGATATTTGATATATGGTGATTCACATACATGGTGTAAATGATAAAAATAAAAATAAAAATAAAAAACAGAAATGATTCGTGTACAACAAATTGTACATCATTTTTTTTTTATCTATCTGTATCACACCATTTATCACATTTATAAATGATGTAAAGAAATAAACACAAAAATTAATATTGTACAAATTATTGTATGAATTGTTGGACATGGATCATTACTTAATAAATAAAAAAATACATGTTTGCGAAGCCCTTCTATAGAAAATTGCAAAGTTGATACTTGATAGTCATATATAACTCATATAAAATGAAACAAGAAATAAAAATTTGAATCAAATCAAAACAAAAAGAATGGATTGCATATACAGCCGAAAAATATTTTAAATTATGGCTTTCTATTTGATAATCTACCTCTCATAATTTCTTCAGCTTCTGCCCCCGCAGCCCATTCCAGAAAGCAGCTGCGTTTACTGCTTTTTTTCCAGGAAGCTGAACTTCCAATACCTGAGCGTGTTAAGACATCATTGAATTCAGAAAAGCATAAACTTGGAAGTATACAGTAAAGAAAAACACATGTTAATTATATCTTAGAAATCAAATACTCCCTCCATTCCATAATAAATGTCATTATAAATTCTAAATATTTTTACGATTTACACAGACCAAGAAAAGATAATAAATACCGGATGAAAGTGAATAGTAGTAATTTTACAACACTACAACAATTTTCTAAAAACTATTATGAAGTGTATGAATGAAAAAGCTAATTAATGTTACATTGAAAAGTTAAAATGACACTTATTTTATGATTTTTTTCCTTACATGACACTTATTATGGGATGGAGGGAGTAATTTTCATAAACCTACTTGACTGTATTTCAAAAATAAAAAGGAATGTTAGCGATACTCTATTACTAACTGAAATTTATTGAAAATCACGAAATTTATTGAAAATCACAAAATTAATGAATTTCACCTCTAAATAAGGGGAGAGAATCTTTAAATGAGAAGCAAGACTTGTAAAAACTTGTGGCTTTTAATAAATTTAAACCAACAATAGTGTTAAAAATAGTGTTGCCAACATTCCTCCAAAAATAAATTATATAATTACCAACTCGAAAGATTTTTTTTTTTCTCAAGTAATTATATAATTACAAACTTGAAAGATTTTGTATTTTCAAAGTACAAAATGATATTTGAATAAAGTGAGCATATACAATCTGGATCCCCAAAGATATTGCCTCTTCGTTTGTTTTCAAGATGCAAGACAGTTAGAGAATTTCAAAAAGTAGTAAAGTACTCGAACAAAAGGAGAACAAGAGGCACGGAAATTTCCCAGTAGGCAGCACCTTTAGCTTGCAGGAACATATTACACTTAGGAGGTGTTTGGTACATGGAATGTTTTCACCTTTATTAGTATTGTAACTAAACATGAAAATCTTTAATTCCTAAAAATCCTATGTGAATATTCCCAGGAACCTTTATGAGTAATCAAACATATTTGGAATCGTAATTCCCAAGATTAGTAATTTCTAGGAATCATGATTCTTGGATATAAAAAAACTTCTCCCATACCAAACGCTCCCTTACAATAATGAATTTCAAAATGCAACTATGCAAACTACTGTTATGTTTTTGGCTTTAAATTATTGTTTACCTATAATTTTTATAAAAGCAAATGAACAACTACAACAGTCAAAAATAGTTCCTTAAAAACAAAATTAATTTTGAAAGTAACATGAAAAATCCATTTGTCTCCTATTTCCATCTTTAATAGGAAGGAAACTTTTTTTTAATTCTCCAAAATTGTTGTCTATATAGTTTCAAATCAAATCTGATTGATAAATTTGTTCTCAAAAAATTGTATGGAAGAAAATGAGAAAATCATGGTTTAATGAGATCACTAGAAGAGTCACTGGCCAAAATTTTGAAATTAATTGAAACCCAATAATGAATTCTATATAAGAATAAGCAAGAGCTACCTAAAACAGAAGCAAAATTGCGAGAAGATCAATTATACATTGATTTGTATATTTCAAACTTGGTTTCTTTGTGTCTAAATCCTGCTCCTTGTTTTCTTTTCTTTTCTTTTTTTGGAAGGGGTTATAGAACTTGACTTGGTTTTCTCAATACAAAAACATGTGTTTTACCCATCATCACCTACCTAGGTGGTGTAAACATGATTTAGCTCTGCAGACTACAATGATGACAGAAACAAGAAGATTGATTTGAAAACTAAACATACCTCAAGTGCGGTGCCCCTTCCACATGGAAATACCAGCGCACCATCAACAAATGCAACATCATCTGCTTCATCAAACTGTGCACTTACATGACTGCGAACTTGCGTGGTTATAATTTTAATCTCCAAAGTTTTCTGCTGACCATTTTTCTCAATCACTAATACTCTTGCTCTAGTTCCTGGCCACCCTGAAAAGGCACGAACCTAAAATTGTTTTATGTTACAACTGTGCAGTTCAGATAAGATCACAATTTTACCTTATTGTGTAGAACAGATGCTTCTTGATCAAAGGATAGCCATGATTCATCTGGATTTATCTGCATAAAGTAGCAAAACAAAAATATGAGCAACTCTTTGTAAGGAAGATATTTTACCAACTGTATATATTGGAGTATATTCCTTTTCTTCCTTTGAATAACAGGACATTTACTGCACTGAACAGAAAGGCACATAACACAAGTTCTCACCAATTCTATCTTTAGCATTCACAAGTAACACAATCATGAGAAGGTTCGCATATCACATTTTGGGGGAAAGAGGGGAATATTCATTTCAGCGGTTGATGGTCACCTCTGTCATCTATTTTAAGCTAAAATTAGGGCAATGTGTATTGTATGGTGTGAAGAGGAATATTGAATACCCATATCTTCAACGGTGTCTTTTTGCTAGCTCTTAAATTTATTACCGTATAAAGTGTTTAAGGGTCCTTTCTTGGACAGAGGTAAAAAACCAAGAAAAACATAATAGAACGAAAGAAAAGAATGTATTTCTTTGATAAACGTGAATTGGACAAGAAACAAATGTAAAAAAAATGTACCCAAAGGAACACTCTCCTCACACCGGAAAAAAAAACAAGTCAACTAAAACATTTAGAATAATCCCCCCCACCTCTTCATTAAGAGGGTTATTTATAGTAGAAAAACTAACAACTACAGTCTACAGTCAGCCCTTTACCACTTGTAACTTATATTTGTAACAGACATCTAACCAACTAATTCACCCTTTTATTCTTCCTGCTATAATAGACTTGTAGGGTCTGTTTGGGAAGTTAATTCTCAAGCCTTACATTGTGTTTGTGACCTCTCATTCATGCACTTTTCATGATTATTTCAGGGAATTTATGTCACTGATTTGCAAAGAGATTGAACAGCCTTGCTGCATTTTTGACCCATCAATTTGTTGCCAGAAATACAATAGATTCGTAAAAGTATATGCTAACAATTTCAACCACTGTAACAAGTAACATTGGGTAAAGAGAAGTGGAGGATCTGATATATACTTATATCAATAGGAAATGATTTTCTATTTCACCTTCCTGGTAACAATCAAGGTTAGCATTACCTTTGGAGCCAATGTAGCCTTAGAGTGATCTTGAGATTGTGCCTTTACAATTGCTGATCCATCAAGTATAGAAGGAAGTTCCCCAATCAGAAGTTTAGATCCTGCTTCGTCAAATAAAGATAGGAACTCATTCAGTAACAAAAAATTTCTACTAAAATGCCAGAATAACTTGGTGCAACACCAAGAGAATGGTATATAGGACTACAAACATAGAAGAACCATACCTTTGTGAAATAGGAGCTCAAGTAAATCAGGTGCCTATATAGATATCTAAAGATTTGTCAGAAGCAGGGAAGAAAAGATGTAAAGTAACTGCCTTATAAGTTTCACGAAACAAGTTGACAATTATGGTTAGGGGTATTCAATAACCGATACAAACCGCCAAACTGAGTAAAAATAAATAAATAAATTGTTAACCAAAAAATTAAAAAAAAATTATATGGTTCGGTTTGGTTTTTGGTTTCCATGTTGAAAACTGAACATGAACCAAAACCAAAACCAGCCGCAATTATACTAAAACCAAAACCAGCCTCAATTATACTAAATTTATATTAATTTTTCAATACATTTACTAAATATATTTACTTAATTTACTAAAATAAATGTATTTCTAAAAATTTGAAATGAAACAGAAAGGCTCATAAAGCATCCTATTCGCAACTTTTGTAGCACAGAGAGACAAACAGAAAACCATACCTTTATTTGATCATCAACTTCAACTGTTTCAGTAGCAATGATAGGTCCAGCATCTAGTGCACGAACAGTGAATGCTAATGACACTCCAGTCTCTTTAACACCATCCTGATATACAAACCAATACATACAATACAACCAAAATAAAGTCAATAAATAAAAAAAAAGAATCAGAATTTAGAGATTGACATGAACAAATAGGAAAACAAAAAACCTGCAATGCTCTTTGAACAGGAGCAGCACCACGGTACAATGGCAACAGGCTAGGGTGAATATTGACTGTGCCTGAGATATTTGAAAGAGGGATTCAGAAATTTGGTTGTTAAGAGGTTAAAGTTTTAGAGTCTGTTTGGATAAATGAGAGACAAATGGAATAAGCTTTTTTGTAAGCTAAAATTAGTTTAAGCACAAGGGCCTATTCGAATAAACTTCTCTAAAAGCAGTTTTAGAAGAAAAAAAATAGAAAGGAAAATCAAAATAAATCTCTCCATAAGTTAAAAGTAAGATTTTGGAGAAACTAAAAAGAGAAAGCTTCTATACATTAGATTATGCACAAGCCAATTTTAGTTCATGGAGAAACTTATTTCTTTTATCTCTTCTAGAAGTACTTTTGGAAAAATTTACCCAACCAAGCTCTAAGCTAATTTGTATAAGTTCTCTCATGTAACTTCTCCATACACTTGTTTTTAATTTATACATAAGTTAATTTAAACTTACGGAGAAGTTTATTTCATTTTTTTCCTAAAAGAATTTTTGGATAAGTTTATGGAACGAGAGACTTAGTATTGCATAATAGATGTTGGCAATGTGAAGTATGTTAGTTTGCATTGGAGGTGGCAGTGACTAACCGAAGGACGGAATATCTAGAAACTTGGTAGGTAATATATTGCCATAGGCTGCCGTAATGCACAAGTGAGGGTGCAGAGCTTTTAAATTTGACAAGAAAGTATCCTGCAGTGATTTGATTGAGTGGGATGAGAAAGAAGAAAAGTAAAGTAAAGTAAGAAGAGCATAGTAGAATGGAATAGTTGGGTACATCTCCAGCACGTTCGGGAGTGAAAATGAGATCAGAAGAGAAGCCCCTGTCAAGAGCATGGGTGGCCAAGGGAGAGAGCGAGAGCTTTTTCCCCCTCGCCCTCCTAGCAGCTGGTTGAGTCACAACAGCCGCAACCTAATTAATTAATTACACTGTGAAAATGGAATCTTATTATGTAATGAAGAAAATGAAATGGGAATGAGTGAGCGAGCTGACCTCGAATGTAGAATGTGGAGAAGCAGAAGCGTTGAGAAGCGCGTCAAGGACTATGGTGGAGACCTGAAAAGTAGAGAATGAAGTAAGTAAGTAAGTAAGTAATAGAGAACGAAAAAGAGAAAGGAGGAAAAGGTTACCTGAGGTGCGCCGAGAAAGACAAGGGGCTTCTTCTTGGTGATGGATGGAGAAGAGACTGGAACCGAGGGAGTGGCGCTCTGTAAACAGCATAGGCGACGAATCATTGTGCTTGTAGCTATACTTCACAGCCCAAGGGATTACTTTTATTTTCAAAATGCATTCCTAGTTTACTTTTTTCTTAAATTAATATTATATCACTCAATTCAAAAATCATTTTAAAAACAAGATAAAGTTTTGTTTTTAATTGTAAATTAAATTTCAATATTTGATTAAAAATATTAATAATTAAAAATTACATTTTTTGTGAGAGAAGAATGAGATTAGAAGTAAATCATGGTGGTTAATGTGGTTTTGAAAAGTAAAAAAGTAAAAGAAGGGATGGGGGGACATGAATTGAAAAGAAAGCTTTGCTCTTATCTTATCCATCTCTATCTGCATTGTTGTGCCGAGAGAGAGAGAGAGAGAGACAGAGAGAGTGAATGGCTGTTTCTTCTTTTGTAGCGAACCGGCCTCTGCTTGGTGTTCACGAGAACGTAGCATTACCATTACCAGTTGCTCCCCAATTCCAATTCAAATGCCAACCCAAACTCAAATTCCCCTCCGTCGGAATTCGATGCTCCTCCCCTTTCAACGACAAAACCCTCAAACCCCACCTCAATAACAACCCTTTCGCATGTCGCTTTCACGCCGCCCAGTTCGGAGGTACTCTCTCTCTTTCATTTATATGCATGCCCATGCTGCATCTCTTTTTACTTTTCTCGCTTCCTCAACCCTAATTGTTTACTTCTAACTCTCAACAAAAATACATTTCTAGTTTTCCTATAATGCATTGTGGACTGTGTGTTATTGGACCGCTTTGAAGATAATGTCTTCCTCCTTTCAGGAGCGCCTATTTTATCGTATCAAATAAGAATCCTTCTAAAACTTTCAAATCTTTTAATTGCACCGCAGAGTAATGGACCCCAATTAGATCAATATAACCTCACTTAGGGTGCTTAGACAACTGGTGGAGGTACAAAAGAGTGTGGAGTTGAAGGAGAGGAAACATCTCCCAATTGATTCTGTTTTTTGGTTTTTAAAATATTTGTCAACTTAATTAGATTTTGAATGAGGAATTGATTGTTTAGTGTAGAATTGTTTAAAAAAAAAACAGTTTTTGAAATTATAAAAAAAAAAATGTGAGAACGGAATCAAACAAGCATTTTTCTTCACATTCTCTTGTTACTCATGGCCACGGGTATTTAGGCTAACAAAATTGTCAGTACAGTTGTGAATATGGTTACATTCAGTATTGCATTGTGAAATCTCAATTCCTTTGCCTGGCTAATGTTTTGGGTTAGTATTGGCTGAGAGTTCTAGAAGGCTTCTAACACATGCATTGCTTATCCTTATCCATCGGGCACATTAACCACCTCTATTGTCTTGTGCTTTTTGAAGCTGACTCATTGTCTTCCTTTTTATTTACTTTCCTCTTCAAACTGTTTTCCTACAATAGTTATTCACTTTCTTCCTGAAACTGTTTTCCTGCGTGTTTGATATTTATTACGGTTAGGATGTGCTTTCAAATAGAATACCATGTCAAAACTGTGTTGATACACAGAATCTACAAATATCGGCTTTGGCATGAATGTGAATCTGTGTTTATGTGATGACAACACACTTCCTGCAGTAAGGCAAACATAGTGGCAATGGCTTTAGTCCTTGTGTAGGATAAGGAAAACTACTCAGATTCAATTAATTGGTTGAGGGATATAGCATTCCACTATACTATTAACACATGTACATTTCAAGTGAGTCAGTTCTTCGTATTTGTTTGTTTGTGAAATGGAAAATAGATGTAAGAGTGACTATGGGATCTTTCTGAGTCGCACTCTCACAAACACAAGCCTCCCATGGGAAACTTTTTGGCAATCACTACTTTTAGCTTTACTGTATACAACTATACATATCTAGGTGTTACTCTATTATTTATCATGTATAGATTTTAGGGTCTATTAAGATAAATTTCTTCAAAAGTACTTATAGGAAAGAAAAATCGGAAGTCCATAAACTAATTTTAGCTAATGTATAAACTAATTTGTAGAAGTTCTATTTTGTTAACTTCTCCAAAATCTTATTTTTAACTTGTGCATAAGCTAGATTTAGCTTGTGAAGAAATTTATTTTGATTTTTCTTCCTATTTTTTCTCCTTAAAGTGTTTTGAGAGAAGTTTATCTACAAAGACATTTGATTGTCAGAGATGTGCTGCTTTGAATGAAGTGGGAAAAAATGTAACAGATATTTGAATTCAATGCTGCAGAACAGGAGAGCAACAAATCATACGTGGAAGCCTATGCTGTAGGGCGAAATATTCGTATGTCTGCTAACAAAGCTCGAAGAGTGATCGATCAGATTCGTGGACGTAAATACGATGAAACACTTATGGTATTGGAACTCATGCCTTATCGAGCCTGTGAAGCCATTCTAAAAATAGTGTTTTCTGCTGGAGCAAATGCTAGCAATAACATGGGTTTAAGCAAAAGCAGTTTAATCATCAGTAAAGCAGAGGTTAATGAAGGGAAAACGATGAAAAGAGTAAAACCTGTAGCTCGAGGCAGGGCACATCCAATTAAGAAGCGCACTTGTCATATAACCATCACGGTCAAAGGCTTACCTAGTGACTCCGCTGTGGAAGCAACGCCTGCTTAATCCTGTTTGGGACAAAATGTATGCCTCATTATGAATTCACTTCATTACGTTTGATTAATGTTTCCGCATTACGACATTACGTAGTTTTATACAGTGGCTTGTAGAGGAGTAATGAACGTGATAAATGTGTACGTCTATTTTTTTTGGTTGCAATATGTGTACGTCTATGTAAGAACTGTTTCAATATTAAATTTAATTGGTGCTAAAAATGAAAGGAATTAGGATTGAAATTTGAAGAAAAATTGTAACGTTAGTAATACTTAACGAAAATAAGCAGAAGAAGAAAAAATTATTTACAGCATTTAGCACCTAAGCAAACAATTCATTTTAGTTCCTTCTTTTGGTATCGTATTACTTATTATGCCGAAATGAGTATATATATATATATATATAAACATACATTGAAAAGTTAAGATCTATTGACATTAAGAGAGTGTTTGATACATGGTAACAAATTTTAATGCCTGAAAATCATAATTTTTAAGAATTATGAAAATTTGTTTTATTGATCATAAATATTTTTTAAAATATTTTTAAATATTATTTGTGAATCAATAATTTGTATTGCATTAAATAGTACATTCCCAATGTCAAATTCCTGGAAAAGTTAAATTTTTTTGTGTATCAAATGTTAATCTAAAAACTTATATCAAATCTTATATTTTCAATAACATTTTGTATATGTAAATTTAATTAATCCAACTGTTGAATTATGTGATATTATACCGAAGATTATGAACATCAAATTTCACTTAATTTTAATATTATTTAGTGAATCATCACATTGTTTTATATTAATGTATTATATGATATTTAAAATGTGAAAATATTAATTTTTTTAATAAAAACTAACAATTTAAATCAAGTGAAATTTGATATACATAATCTTGAGTATAATATTATATAATTCAACTGTTGGATCAATTAAATTTATGTTATACAAAAAGTTGTTGAAGGTCTAAGTTTTGGTTTAAGTGTTTTGTATCAACAAATCCTAATATATATATAGAAAGAATAGATCTATTTATTCTAAGAGTAAGTCTACTTAGACTTACTTCACTCAATAACTCAAATTTTACCTTAAATTTCAATGATCCAACCACTGAATTAAATATTCTTAATACATAAATCAAGTTTACAAATTTTTAAAATATTTAAAAATTATTTGATATTTCATTTCATCAATTCAAATTGAAGGATAATCATAAAAATATTTTATATGTCGAGTGAAATAAATTTACTTAGACTTGGAGCAACTCCAATGGGAGTTGCTTGGTCCATCAAGCAACCCCAACCTCAGTTTCTTACCATTGGAGGGGAATGACGTGGCAGCAAGAATTTCTTGTAGAAGAGAGAGGGTTGCCTAGTGAAGCAACCATTCCTTACTTTGTAAACGGAAGGAGGCGCGGTGGTGAGGCGGTGGTTGGACGGCGGAGGCGCGCGGTTGGACGTTCTGTCACGGGACCTGATCGGAGCGAAACGGATTGAAGTCGGAGCCGACAACGCCGTCGTTGACGGTGGTGGACGTTTTGCTACCGTTGGCTTGGTGCGATGCGGACTGCTTCCTGAACTTTGGGAGCCTCGGCCTGGACCTGGCGCGCGCGGCGGAGGCGGCGGCAGCGGCAGCAGTGGCAGCAGTGGCAGAAGGGTTTAGGCAGGTGGCATTGAAGTGGAGATGACGCGTCGGAGGAGGAACAGAAGAAAAAGAACGGTTTGAAGAAAAATGAAAAGGCACCATTGGAAGAAGAAGACGTTGGGTTTAAATAAATAAATAAATAAAAATAAATAAATAAATAATAATAATAAAAAAATAACCCAACTCAATTTAAATAATGTTTATATATTTACTATTGCTTTATTTTATTTTTAATATCTACTTATTGTATATTTTTTCTCATAATTTATTTTTTTTATTGTAGTACAATTGTCCTTTTTAATAAAAATTTAAATTTAGTTCATAAATAATTAGAAAAACAATTCTAAAAATTGAATTTCTTAAAGTTTCTTACCATCGGAGTAAATTTCTATTTGAGTTGCTTAATGCTGACATGCCCTTACTCCACTCAATAACTTAAATTTTATATTAACTTTCATAGATCAAGTTTACAAATTTTTTTAAAAAAATTAAAACTATTTAATACTTTATTTTGTTAATTTAAATTAATATATAAAATATTTTTATGATTATCTATTAATTTTAATTAATAAAACTATATCAAATTATTTTTAAAAAATTTTAAAAATTTATAAATTTAATTTATACATTAAAATTTTTTAATTTAATAATTAAATTATTAAAATTTGATGTAAAATATAAACTATTAAATAAAATACGTATAAATAGACTTTCTCAATAAATGAATGTCTCCTCTCTCTCTTATTTTATATACATAAGTGCATTTGTTTTTCACAACTAAAATTGTAATCATTATTTTTCAATAGCAAATTTTTTAATATGTGCTTTCGTATGATTATCATCCGTAGAGTGCAGGGTGATATACTGAGGTAGGGTGGTGGACATCTCTCCGTCGTTCTGCCTTTGTGGCAAACAACCTAGCACCCAAAAATCATACAAGCGGCAGAACATATGGGACATTTGTTTTAATTATAGCAAAGGAAAGGATACTCAATCTCCTATTTCGCCATGAAGATTTGAAGAAGCAAGATAAAGATTCCTGATTTCTTCCCTGCTTGCCGCCTTAAGAATAAGAGAGTCACGCAACCAGATAATATATATACACCTTTTTGGCAAAATCTCTTGAGGCGGCAGCGGCAGCAGTGGCAGCAGTGGCAGAAGGGTTTAGGCAGGTGGCATTGAAGTGGAGATGACGCGTCGGAGGAGGAACAGAAGAAAAAGAACGGTTTGAAGAAAAATGAAAAGGCACCATTGGAAGAAGAAGACGTTGGGTTTAAATAAATAAATAAATAAAAATAAATAAATAAATAATAATAATAAAAAAATAACCCAACTCAATTTAAATAATGTTTATATATTTACTATTGCTTTATTTTATTTTTAATATCTACTTATTGTATATTTTTTCTCATAATTTATTTTTTTTATTGTAGTACAATTGTCCTTTTTAATAAAAATTTAAATTTAGTTCATAAATAATTAGAAAAACAATTCTAAAAATTGAATTTCTTAAAGTTTCTTACCATCGGAGTAAATTTCTATTTGAGTTGCTTAATGCTGACATGCCCTTACTCCACTCAATAACTTAAATTTTATATTAACTTTCATAGATCAAGTTTACAAATTTTTTTAAAAAAATTAAAACTATTTAATACTTTATTTTGTTAATTTAAATTAATATATAAAATATTTTTATGATTATCTATTAATTTTAATTAATAAAACTATATCAAATTATTTTTAAAAAATTTTAAAAATTTATAAATTTAATTTATACATTAAAATTTTTTAATTTAATAATTAAATTATTAAAATTTGATGTAAAATATAAACTATTAAATAAAATACGTATAAATAGACTTTCTCAATAAATGAATGTCTCCTCTCTCTCTTATTTTATATACATAAGTGCATTTGTTTTTCACAACTAAAATTGTAATCATTATTTTTCAATAGCAAATTTTTTAATATGTGCTTTCGTATGATTATCATCCGTAGAGTGCAGGGTGATATACTGAGGTAGGGTGGTGGACATCTCTCCGTCGTTCTGCCTTTGTGGCAAACAACCTAGCACCCAAAAATCATACAAGCGGCAGAACATATGGGACATTTGTTTTAATTATAGCAAAGGAAAGGATACTCAATCTCCTATTTCGCCATGAAGATTTGAAGAAGCAAGATAAAGATTCCTGATTTCTTCCCTGCTTGCCGCCTTAAGAATAAGAGAGTCACGCAACCAGATAATATATATACACCTTTTTGGCAAAATCTCTTGATAGAACTTGAATTGCAAAATACTTCGAACACTATAAATACAAATATACACTTGGCGCATGTTGAGTTTTGCTTAATTTTGTGTGTTCTTCTATATAAAAGCCCTTCTAAAACCAATAATAATAATAAATTATTTTAAATATAAAATAAACTAATTTAAATACACATTTTCCAGATTGCATAGCTTTTCTGTTCACGGTTTTCTCAAAGGATTTTGGAATCGGGTTGGTGCCTGTTTGGTTGGGCATTCACTATTTTGTGAACATGGATCAGCCGCAATCAAAAAATACTTGTTTCTAAGTTATTAGGGGATTTTGGACGAGGATTTATTGGAAACTGTAGATCGTAAATTCAGATCCAAACAAGCGACTAATAGACTTGTTCTGCAAGGATAAGTAGAGTTGAAAATGCATTCATAGGCAACGAAAACAAAATATGATGATACCACAAAAAACTCTAGAGTATACTCTTAATGTTGTTACTCAAGTCCAGACAAACAGGGACACGGAACAACGCTCAGCAACACAAAACAAGGGATCAAATACTAGACAAGTAAAGAAACATAAACGAAAGACTATTCGTGCACATTATTCTTCCTCTGATTCTGATTCCGCACTTTGAAGCCAGTCAATCAAAGGTTTGGCATTCTTCCATATCTGGGAGTCCTTATTATCACCCTTCAGCCCTTCTTGAAACCACTGCACTATGTACTCTTCCTCCAACACATCAGCATCATAGAGTGCCTTCAAAACAATGGCAATTTCCTTCAAAGCATTGGAAGTGGACTTTAAGCAGAAAGCCTCAATTGCACGAAGCAATTGTAGCTGTGATCCCTCCCCCACAGAAACTGCAGCAGCAAGGTAGCGCTTCTTCTTGGCGACTTCTTTGGCAAACCCTTTCTCAGTACCCTCAAATAAGACCTCAAACAGAGCACTGATCTTTTCTTGTGCTGGTGCAGGAAGAGCTGCCATATGGGACTGCAATTCATTTGCCGCGATACCTTTGTTCAAGATTGCCTTCACTTCTCCAACCAGTTTACTGTAGTGCATTGAATTACCATTTTCAGAACCATCACTTTTCTTACTTGCTCCCTTTTCCTTCTTCTCTGGCTCATCTGTGGAGAGCATTACCATATCAGCTGTTACAGCACTTAGCTGTTCTTGGATACGTTGCCGAGCAGCCTCTAATGACGTGTCTGTTTGCCATTGTACTTCATCATCATCTTCATCCGGAGCCTCTTCTTTCTCATCAACTTGAATGTGGGCTGGAGATTGACGATCTTCATCAGAGCCACTGGCTTTCTTCTTTGTAGAGTTCAATTTTGTGGTCTCATCCTTTGTAGTAGACGAGCCCTTTTTCTTAGATTCTTTCTTTATTTTCTTCATTTCCTCATCAGCTGCTTCACCTTCCTTCAGTCTTTCCTTCTCAGCTCTCCTCATTGCCTTCTTGTCTTTGGATCCTTTCTTTGTTTCAGGAGGGTTTTTTATAATAAATGAAGTAAGCTTATCTCTCATATCCACATCTGACACAAAACCACAAGCAGCACATTTCAGCTGGACCATTTGGTTCTTAGTAATTAATATCTCAGTTTCCGGGTTTCCACAACCATAACACTGGACATATTTCTTGATGAAGATCTCAAGAAGACCAGCAAGTTTTGCAGTGTCATGTGCCCCATTAACATGAGAAGTCCCAGCTTTCTCATCGAATTTCGATTGGGCTCCAAGTTCACACCCAAAGTACTTGGTAGTGTAAGAGGGTGGCCTTGCCAATGCCTTGGCAATGTCAACCATGTTGACAACATTTGTTTTGATGCCATTCCCTCTACCCTCAATTTTGGTAATCATTCTAGGCATCTTATACCTATAGAAGGCATCATCACTATTTGCAGCACCAATGTTCTGTAAGGCCATAATGACTTAAACAAGAAAAGTTCCAAAGACAAAAACAATCACAACAGACGCCTCAGGTTGTAATCTGCAATGATGACTTGCTGCTTGTAATCAGGAAGACCACCGTTGCGCAACTAGTGAAGGCTGCCAAGAACAACAACAAAGGTTAGGGTGTTCCTGGTACGTCTCACAGCGCATACAGCTCGGTCTCGTAGGCAAGGCCTTATGTTTTTTTCTAGAAGGAGAAAAACACTCTCCAAGCAACAACTCAATTGGTCCCAAATGGATAATTGCCTGTTCAAACATGAAAGAAAGTTCAACAACCTGAACCTTTCACCTTGGAATCTGCTACAGCAGAACTTGCAGGAACCCTAAATCAAATAACAACAGAGATGCCGAGATTTTAGTTAAAGGCATGTATGTATGGTGTTAACACCTTGAGAAGGGAACAATTTGACAATCTCAAAGCATGTTGATAATACACAATATATGAAATAATTACGATGGATGTTTCCAGAAGACGGGAAAAAATGATAATAGATCAAAAAACAGATTAATAATATATATATATATATATA